TTCACTTCTGGGGTGCACATATGAAGCCAAGGAGGCATTCTGTGGCACAATTTGAGCCATAAATCAATATGGGGAAATTGATCTGGATGTTCCTGTCCAGGGGCGGTGACTGTTAGCCAGATGGACCAGATGAGACCCTCATCTAGGGATCTCTCAGTTGGCCAAGCTAGGCAAAGCTTGGGCCATTCTAACTCACAAAAGGCTCTAAGTTTTCGAGTTTCATCTTAATACCATAATTTCCAGTAAAACCTTTCTTAAAATTCTTAAGCATGCATTCTAAAACAGTAGGATGAGATATTTCTGTCCCCTTGATCAGCCGATCAGAGTGTTGGTGTGTGTATAGGTGGGTACCCTTGTAAGGAGACACAAGACAAACAAAGGTGGGTTAACTCACTGGCCTGCCTGGCTGCAGGCTTCTCGCCATTTTAAAGTCCATTCAGGCTAAGGTGGGCTGTCACCTAAGCTCACCATTGTGCCTTTGTTAAACACGACCACACACAAATTCTACGACTCAGGGAGGACTCTTTAAGGGCAAGTGCTTCCTCCCTCTGTCTTGTTCCACAGCTCATTTCACACATTCTCCTATCCAGAACTCTTTCACTCACACATTTATTCAGAAGTTATCACATTCCCTCCCAGTGACCCCTTACCCATAACCAAAACAAATGAAAGAAGCTACCTCCCCAAATGGCAAGGCACAAGGTGTGATTGGGCCCTTGCACTATTTTTGCCCAAAGTTCACAAAGTGATCCAAAACAAATGGGAGGAGCTATCTTCCCCAATGGCAAAGCGCAAGGAGTTATCAGCCCCCTGTGCTGTATTTGCCCAAAGTTACAAAATACAAATTCACAAGGCGAAACCGAAAGTTAATGACTAGGGGGTTTCCCCAGGTTTCTCAACCAGCAAAGGAAAGAGACAGACAGACACCAAGAGCAGCAGTCCTCCTTCTGTCATCTCTGTCTTGGGTTTGGGCAATCCTCCACTGGTGAGTGGGTCTCTGTGTCCTGATGGGGAGCCTAGGAAATTAGTCCCAGGGGCGCACCTTCCCTCTGGAGGAGACAGAGAGCCACTTCCTCCAGTGGGGTTTGGGCTGATGCCCAAAAGGGCTATTTCATTCCCGATTCCCAGCCCATGCACCAAATGTTGCAGAAATCTCAGAAAGAAAAACGCAGAGACACAGAATTTGGATAAAATAATAAAATTTCTTCTCAGGAGTGGGCAAGAACACTAGAAACAGGTCTGGTTAGTATCTGTGCACCCTTTGTTCAGTGTTTCCCTTTTTATATGCTTTTTAGCCATTATCTCATCTCTAGTGGTCTTTGATGTGTAAATACAATTCCAGATCCTATGTACAAGTCACAGACACAAGATAGCCACATATACATTGTAAATTCACCCTGTCATGGTAACTTTATTAGGTTAATGAAGTTACCAGTTAGAGTCAGATAATCCTCACCTTAAACAAGGAGTTATGGGAAAAGCAAATCTTAAAAGACCACATTACTTATTTTGCTTCTACAACTACCTTAATATTCAATCTATTAAATTATCTAAAACTTTTCCCTATCATTATGGCAAGGGAGATTAAATAACACCCAGTACATGATGGGCAGTTTGAATCTTTTTTTTTTCATTAATTTTATTGATACAGTTTAGGTATACAATATGCTGACATTCATTATTGGGAATTTGTACTTCTACATAATATATCTTGGTTCTTATTTTTTCCTCCTTCCCCTGCCCTCCCTTAAACTCCATTCCTCCCTATTTAAAATTACTTTGTTTCCATTTTTTCCTTTTCTCATATTTATTCCTTTCCCTTCCTTCCTTTCCCCTACCCCTCCCATTTCCTCTTCCCCTTTGCATATTTTCTTCCTATTTCACATTATCTATTCTACATTTTGATCCTTATTTACACTTTCAGTTTCTCACACCAGAAAAATTATTTGGTATTTACACATGTATGTTCTGTCTATTTCACTTAAGAGTATAGCCTCAATGTGCATCCATTTAGCTATAAATGTCTCTGGTTTCTCATTCTTTATGGCTGAGTACTACTCCATTTTATTTTAAAAAACCCCACATTTTCTTTATCCAGTCTTCAGTTGATGGGCAGTTGGGCTGTTTCCAAGTTTTAGCTATTACAAACTGTTCTGCTATGAACATGGGTGCACATATATCGCTGTGGTATGATTCTTTTAATTCTTTTGGGAAGGTACCTAGCAGGGGAATAGCTGGGTCAAATGGGACTTCCAGCCATAGTTTTTGAGGTATCTCCACACTGATTTCCACAGTGGTTGCACCAGTCTGCACTCCCACCAGCAGTGGAAGAGGGTTCCTTTTTCCCCACAGCTCCACCAGCATTTGTTATTGGTTGATTTCTTGATACTAACTATTCTTTCTGGGATGAGATAGAATATCAGCATTGTTTTCATTTGCATCTCTCGAATGACCAGTGATGTTGAATATTTTTCCACATATTTATTTGTTATTTCTACTTCTTTGAGAAATGTCTATTTCAGATTGGGCAGTTTGGATCTTATGGTGGCCATGGTTAAGTGTATGTACTATGACCCAGTAGTAGGCCACGTGTTGTTTATGAAAAGGAGAGTACTTACCTGTGGAGGATGGCAGGGCTTTGATTCAATATCCTAAAGATGTGGACTATTATTTGACTATGGGGGCCTGCCAAAGCCTGTAAACAGCATCCCTCTCTACCACTGATACTTCAATTATTAGATTTGCTGGATGATACAGGCTAAGAGGCAGGGCAGCTTGCACAGCATCGTGGACCTGTTGCAAAGCCTTCTTCTATTCTCTCCCCCACTCAAAACTAGAAAACTATTGGGTTACTCAGTAAATGTGCTAGAGTAATACACCTGAAGGAATATATTGCCTCCAAAATCCAAAGTGGCCTGCTAGATATCATGCCTTTTTAATGATTGTAGGATGGACCAGATGGAACAATTCAACCTTCCCATTTAGAGGGGATATCTCAGCATGCTCCACAACACTGAATTCCTGGAAATTTTACTGAGAATACTCCTGCCTTTCCAGTAATTCTAGAGTAGCTACCTTGTGCTCACTGGGTCCTGTTGGTGTAATGTCATCAATGTGATGGACTAGTGTAATAGTGCAAGACAATCAAATCCTAACAAAGGAGATTTGACATAAGGCTAGAGAGTTGTTATCTCCCTGAAATATGTCAATGATAGTATATTTCTGGCTTTGCCACCTGAAAGTGGACTGGCGGGTTTTATGGACAAGTATGGAGGAAAGTGCATTTGTAAGAAAACTAGTTACATATAGGTACCAGGGAATGTGTTAGTTTGCTCAAGCAAGAAAAGCACATATGTCTGTAATTGTAATCACCACCTTGTTGCACATCTGATAATCCACTGCCCAAGAGGATCTGCCTTTACCAGAGGCTGAAGAGAGAAGTTTAATGAGGATGTAGGTTACGTCACTAATCCTGCATCTTTCAAGTCTGATGGTGGTACTAATCTCCAAAATCCCTTCAAGAATTCAGTGTTACTTTTGCTTTACTGTTTTCCAAAGGCTTTCACTTGGCTTTTCCTACCCATAGAGCTCTTACTCTTCAGGTAAGGGAACTAGTGTAAGGATATTGCCACTTGCTAAGTTGTCTATTCCAATTATGCATTCTAGAATTTGGAAAATAGCAACATTATGGATGCAGCAACTCCCTGGGTTTGTTGTATGCCAAACCTGAGCTAAAACTCCATTGACCACTTGACATTCATAAGCCATAGCTAGTGGACCACAGCAACATTTTGGGTCACCTGAAATTAGTGTCAGTTCATAGGCTAATATACCCTAAAAGGTCTGAGCTTTTCCTTTTCCCCAATGTGCAGTCACCCTGGTAAAAGGCTGTACCTCCATTTGGGGTATGCAGAAAAATTAATGGTATAACTTTTTGGCAGTGTAGTTCTTATGTGGACTCAGCCTCCTTTCATTCGAGGGACTCTAGGTCTCTAAACTAGCATGATTATAAAGACACTGAGAGGGGGAGAGATTGATTTATTTTTGGGAATTGATTTTACTGATTATGAAGGCTGGCAATTCTGAAATCTGTAAGACAAACTAGAGATCCATTGAAAAGTCAATGTTGTAGTTGCAGTTAGAAGGCAAACCTGGAGGTAGAATTTGTTTTTCTTCAATAAGTCTGTCTTTTTCTCTTAAAGTCTTCAACTGATGTGATGAAACCCACCCTCATTATTTAGGGTAATCTTCTTTACTCAAAATCTACTTATATTTAAGCATTTAAGTTAATTTATTCTAAAAATACCTTCACATTAACATCCAGACTGGTGTTTGGACAAATGTCTGAAGACCGTGGTCCAACTAAGTTGACACACAAAATTAACCACCACAGTTTGTCCACACATGTGACAAATCCACCCATTCATGGAAAAATATCTGTGAATATATATATTTGTATATAAATATTTTCCATGTATATGCTGGCATGTATACATAGAAACATCCAAGATGAGTAGAACTTTTATATATGTGGGGAGTTGTATCTACACAGTAAAGTATATATAGTGCATTTGTTAATAATATAAATGAATGTACATATATAAGTATATGAGAGAAAGATATATAGGTTAAAAATATTTTAATTCACAGAATCTTGATATAGATATAGCCATCTTAAAATGACCCAGATTTGGTGATTTGGAGTGTTAGACATGTGTTATTAAGACTTGTATGATAAATTTTATTTTCTAACATAGTGTTCTCCATAAGTATAGAGCACACAAGCAGCATAAACCAAGTATTCTAATAGCCATTAACATTTTAGACCTGACCTGAAATAATTTCTGCCATCCTAGTTTGTGAAGTAATGTACAATACTCAAAATTCCTCTTAATAAGTAGCTCCTGATTAAAATAGTCTAAAATAGTTACAGATTAGATTTTTTAGTGAAAGAGTAGAGCTGTTATATGCTGATCAGTATGTTGGACTTTTTAATTCAGATTTTTAAAGAGCGAGAAGAAGATCTGAGGCGTTTGTCTCGCCCATTGGAATGTTCTTGTTTCCGAACATCAATTTGGGATGAAACTCTTTATAAGGTGTGTATGTTTCTGGGGTTCTCTCATTTTTAAGATCATGAAAAAAAGCTAGAAGCATATTAACAAAACTAAAAGATTTTATGCTATTTCATAGCCATCTAGATTAGTTGTACCAAAAAATAAAAAGAAATAAAGTTGCTTGAAGAATATCAAGCTAGATTTATTTTACTAAAAAAAGGAATAATCTACAACAAATTGGTTGAAGAATATCAAATTTAACATTAAAAGATTTTAGTTTTGATATTAGATTGGGTCAACATTGTTACCAAATCACTCTGAGCTAGCCAGTTTGGTTATGATTAATTTAATACTGATCTTTCTGATACCAGAAATTCACTTACTGGCCATCATCCATTCTGACTTACTGTAGTCTCATTGCTGATTGGACTTGTGTCTAGTGCTCAGTTACCTCTGCATGATAATGGTATAAGCTAATCTGCTTTAAATTTGAATAGTAACCATAGGAAAATGTTTAGTGGAGAGGTTGGAAAAAGGAGTCTTAGAATGAGACATGTTATGCTTAGAGGATAGCAGCTTCAACTTTCATGCCAAATTGGAGACCATCATTTTTTCAACCGGAAGAATTGTTCCCATGGCTGGAATAGATGCCACTCCACTTGCAATAATTGTAGAGATTATAACAGTACTTCTGTATGGATGAAGCTGAAATTAACTTATTGGCACATAGGCTCCTGCTTCTTCCCTTTTTCCTACTGATACAGTGATTTAAGGACTGGCTCATTTTGTGTCTTCCTGTGGTCAGACCTTTCCTTCAGACTGCTTCTGGTACCCATTGAGAAGTCTGACTCTAGGTGGCAAAGGATCCTTCTCTGTCACTGATAGCTAAATCCTCAGTATCAACTGCATCTGACAAGTATCTACAACCAGAAGCACAGAAGCCTGACTTGCCAAGGAGAAATAACATTGGATTTTAAAAATAGCCATTGCTTAAAAAAAATAACTAATTCATTTTTTCCAAATATTATGTTGACCCAGCTTCATTCTAATAACATCATTTTGAGATACCTGTCTAGGAAGTACTGTTCTAGATTAATATGGGCCGAATTTCTCTCAAAGCCTTATTCCCATAGAACAGGTAACCGTGAATAAGGATGGACATGACGCACTGATAAGAGCCAACTGCGGTGTGAAGGATGGCAATACATAACACGACCAAAGACAATTGGCTAATCACAACACTGCTGTGAGTGAAAATGTCTCTGCTGTGGTTAGCTTTGGTGCCTTCTCCAAGGTAAATTCAGCAGTGACATTAACACCGACCTGGGAACCTGGAACCTGAACTCCTATGCCTAAGTGAAAAAACTAATTGGAACAGAGACATGACACTACTATCTCTTAAATCAATGTTCCATAGAACTGACTGAAATTTTTATATTAAGTTTTACTCAATAAGCACTCATTGGCTATCTGCTTGATGCTATTGCATATTAAGATCAGGTTCCTGCCCTTTAGTACGGGAAAGAAGAACACAGAACACCTAACCAGAAAAATTGGAGTGATAGTGAAGGAAGTATAATGGAAATACAAATAGAAGAGCCTTAAGAGAATTGAGGGAGGGTGTGGTTAATTTCAACTGCTTACATTCGTCACACTCTGGATGAAGTTAGTTTTAGGCAAACACAGTGGACCTTTTTAAGTTCAGTTGGATCGGTAATTTTTACAGATGACAAGAAATCTTTGAGAATGATAATGCCACTAGTTTCTCTTGTAATGATGTATTATACCATTGAGGGAAAGGGCCATTTGTCTATTTGGCCCTAATATTTTTCACAACCTTGATTCTTGGATGTATACTGGTTGAATTAAATACTTGTTGAATGTATAGATCAGAAGCTTTCTAGGCCATACATCACATTTGCAACCTTTTTTCTAAGGCAACATGATGGCATTAAATTACTTGTTTACTTTTAATTATCAATGGAAAGAAGTTTCTCAGCATTTCATAAAAGTGTATGAACTTTAAAAATTCAACTGGTGGGATAGTCAAATATTAGCTTTATTTTCTCTCATATGTGTCATATTTAATGTCAGTATTTGGGACTCAAATATCATCATGTTTTGCTGTCTCTATATTATAGTGTATGTACTCATTTCAAAGGTCAGGACCTCGCTACCTGTTAATAATATTATACTGTGCTTCTGTCCTGTTAGGCTTGGTCCAGCATTGTTTATCAGCTGATTCCCAATGTTCAACAATTGGAAATGAACCTAAGAAATTTTGCTGAAATTATTGAAGCTGATGAAGTACTTCTATTTGAGAGAGCTACTTTTCTGGTAAGAACTTCTGCTCTACAGATACACTTCACACTGTACCTTCTTTTATTCAGCAACAGGGAATTGCATGTTTCCACTTTCAGGAAGAACTTTTTCCCTTTTTGCCATTACTTCAGCATGCAAAGCATTATTTATAAAGTAGTATTGTCAGCAAATGATTTAAAAGAAGAACTTGGTGTATAACCCTTTAGTAGTCAAACTTAGATTTTGGCAGGTATGCCTTAGAGAGTTTAGATTATTTCTTCTAACAACTGTTCATTTGTGATAAAGGGTTCCTTTTTCTTTTTCACCTTTATTATGAAATTTAGGGTATTTTCTGTTTGAGAAAACTCTGTTCCCACTTCTTTCTCCAAAAGACTGAATTGAAAACTTTTGACGTGGTAGAGATGTATTAGCCAACTCAGTGCTCTAGCTAAGAGTTCAGATGGAGAAGTGGAGGGGGAAACAGGCATGTTACTATTCTTACTTTTTGTATAAATTGAATTTAGCAAAGACCCTACTTTTTGTACAACTCTAAGCAGGAGACACAAAATCCAGTATTGTTAAAATAGGAACTTATTTGAGATGTCACAACACATTGCCTAAATAAATGCTATCTAGCTTAATAAATTTAACTCTAAGAGCAGATCCCAGTAAAGAATTTGCTTTTTAGCTCTGTCAATGCTTGATGATTTTAGACACATTTGTTAATCTCCCTAAGCTTGCTTCCCTTTCTGTAAAATGAGGAAAATAATATCTATATTAGAATTAACCTGTGGATTAAAATGGTACAAAGTAACATTTAGCACCTAGCACAAGCCTTGGCATGTAGGTGGCAAACTATTAAGTATTAGTTGTTTTTTTTTTTTTTTGCTGCTATAGCATTAGACAGCAAAGAATCTAAAGTGCAGTTTCCCCACCCCCCCATCCCCACCCCCATCCTTTGTGGAAACATTTGTAACCCAGCAGTACATGGGAGCCATCCTTCCTGATAGCTGGTACAGCTGAGTCAAGGAGTCCTAACTAGAATGTCTTTTTGCTGCAGCTCACTGACACTGGTTTCTTGCTTGGATTTACTACTCTTGAGTCCATTTTTTTCTGCTAGTGTGAGTAGCAACAGTCAAGGAAACTATTAATGTGCATGGCATGACAGAATCCTGCTTCAGTAGCATTTCCCTGCCATATCTGCCTCACAAGATCATAGAGAATAACCTAATGTATGCCCTCTACTCTTTAAAAGTAACAGGTAGCTTTTGTTTCTCTTGAAGACCAAGTGTAAGTGTGATTGTTTTACTGAGGGGGTTAAATCAAACAAGGTGGATTTCTTCTTTCATTGGTATAGGAATTGTATTTTGAAAATATCACATTTTCCCATGGAATTTCTCTGTGAATTTTCTTCTGGTGAGTGTTTTGTCTTTTACTAGAAACTTTTCATCTGTGTATTTAGCCTTTAGAATACAGATGTGGTTTTATTAAAATCTGAAAATGTTAAGGAAGGCATTTTCTGTTGTTGTGAGTGTTAATCCTGAATAGATTTATTATGATAGTCCTTATGTTTGAATAATCTAGTTAAGCTTTTTATTTATTTATTTATTTTGGTACTGGGGATCAAACTCGGAACCTTGCACTTGCGAGGCAGGCGCCGGAACCACTGTGCTAAATCCCAACCCTAGTTAAGCTTTTTAAGTATAATTCTAAAATTATAGTGACTTCATTAAATTAAATATATTAAATACACCTCAAGAACAGCTAGATATTTTTACTTATTTTCATTTTTTATTTGTATTATTAATATCAAAGACTATCCCATGAAAAGTTGAAATAAGGTGAACATTTAATGATTAAAGTAATGAAGAAAGAACATAGTGAAGCAAAATACAAATGTTCTTTGACTTAGGATGAGGTTATGTGCTGATGAAACCACTGTAAGTTGAAAATGCATTTAATATACCTATCCTACCAAACATCATAGCTTAACAATTCAAGTACACTGAAAAGTATAGGTTGTTTACCCCTGTGGTCTCATGGCTAAGTAGCAGTTATGATTCACTGCTGCTGCTTAGCATCAAAAAAAGAGTAGTAGACCATACATCTCCACCCTAGACAAATTTAAAGTATGATTCCTAGTGAATGCATATCATTTTCTCAGCATTGTAAACCATCATAAGTCAAAGACCACCTGTAGAGATTCTTAAATGATATAATATGGTTATAACCAAACAATACTGTATGGATCATTCAAATGGATGTTGAAATCACAAACAGTGTTGACAAGTATATGCATAGAGGGAAAGAGACAATAAGTCATGTGACAAGTCTACCCTGAAAGCATAGATGACCAAGAAACCAACAGATATCTTCTTTGAGTAGTGACAGAGGGTAATATTAGTAGTTTGCATGCATTTAAAGGCTAATGTTTTTTTTCATAGGTGATTTCTCATTATCAGTGTAAAGATCAGCGAGATGCCCATAGATTTGAGAAAATCAGCAACATTATTAAGCAATTCAAACTGAGTTGCAGGTAAGAGATCTTGAGGTATGATCTATTAATTTCCAGAAAAAAATGCCATCATTTTTTGAGAAATTCAAATAACTATGCTTGGCTGCACTTATGTGTTCACAGCATTCCCTTTAATCAAAAAGAAAAACTCTAAGGCTGCTTATAGTTTACTGAAGGACAGGCCACTGATCTTTAATTCAAATTTAACTGGTGCAGAAGCATATGAACAATATTTAAGCCGAGTGCCCTTTCAAGAGGTTTGGTATGATTTGTAAAGAAATAAACAGAATATCCAAGACAATTTGATAAAGAAGAAGAATTTCTTCTACTAATTACCAAAATTTACTATAAAACTTTAGTGATTAAAATAGTGACATATTGATTCAGAATTGATACAGAAGGGTCTAGAAATTTCTAATCGTGTTGTATCATCTTTGATTAAATAAGACTTGAATCAGCTTTGTTAATATAGGAAAAAGGAATGGCTAAACATCACAAGTAAAGATTTGAAAATGAATATTCTTCTCTTCATAAAACTTTGATGCCTGGAGAGTGGAGATAAGTTTATCTACTTTACATAACATACTTTGAGACTTTCTAGAATGGCTTTTTTTTTTAACATGTTAAAGTAATAGTAAATGACAAGCAAATATAGTTAGTTTGTTTTCCAAAAAATGAATCATTTTTCGAATTTAACTGTAACATTAAAAAGATATAGTCATTAATTTCAAAAATAGAAAATTCCACATTATTTCTTTATATTATAATAATATGTTATTCTTAAATATTAGAGAAAACATTTGTATTAGAATTTTTAACGTATATCTAGGTCTGTATTTTCAATTCTTAGTCAATATCAAGTCCTAACTTGTCATTTTAGTAACTTACGGAACATTTAAAACATTTTAACATTTAAACATTTTAAAGAACATTTTAAAGCTGAGTGTGGTGGTACATGTCTGTAATCTCAGCATTCTGGGAGGCTGAGACAGAAGGATCACAAGTCCCAGCCTGGTTAATTAAGCAGCTTAGCAAGATTTTGTCTCAAAATACAAAATTTGAAAAAGGGTTGGGAATGTAGCTCAGTGAGAAAGCCCTGGGTGCAGTCTCCAGTACCACAAAAAAAGTTAAATTCATTCTTAGAATGTGTTTGGGAAATGTTATAATGATATGGTGAATGGAGATATAATACTATAAAATATTTAACATAAAAGATAACATATTTTTTATTATTTTATTTTTTAATCATTTTTCTCATTTCTTCTGTAGCAAACTGGCTGCCTCTTTTCAGAGTATGGAAGTCAGAAACTCTAATTTTGCTGCTTTCATTGACATCTTCACATCTAACACTTATGTGATGGTAGTGATGTCTGATCCATCCATTCGTAAGTTTAAACTTAGCTGGCATAGTTTCAAAATGACATGCTCTTTATAATAAACAATTGCCCTAGAGGTAATACTTCAATAGCTGCTCAAAAACTATGGCCCGGTGTGGTGGTGCATGCATGTACTCCCAGTACTCGAGAGGCAGAGGCAGAAGGATTGCTTTGGGTTTGAGGCCAGCCTGGGCTACATAGTGAGTTCAAGGCCAGTCTGAACTACGTAGTGAGACTCTGTCTCAAAAAAAAAAAACAAAACTATTTTACAGTGGGAATAGTTGTACAACAATGTGAATGTACTTAATCCCACTTAATTGTACACTTAAAAATAGTAAACATAGTAAATTTTATGTTACATATTTTTTTCTATGATTTAAAAAACTATTGGTGAATAGTATTTCTTTAGTAGACTTATATTTTGAAACTGAAAAATAACTTAGCTTCTATGGTATTGTTTTTCTTAATGGGAACTTCAGAAACCAAGTTACCAAATCCAGGAATTTTAAAGAAAAGAGAACCCAAATCCATAATTTATGGTCCACATGGTATACATTTTTTAAAGACTAGCTCTTATAACCTCTAAGCTATTAATGCTGAATAATTTTACATGTCATTGCATATATCCCTCTGATCATATTCCCATATTTCTATTTTGTCAAGAAGGGAAGCAATTGGTGCTTCTATACCTTAATAGACATGTCTTCTACAACCACTGAGCTTCTTCAGTACTGTCAAGATATTCTCAGAAGGTTAAATCATCTCTTCTCCACTGGCTTTTCCTACCTTAGATTAATATTAAAATATAACATAAAATAATGGATTTCATTCTATTAACCTAAACTAAAAGATTTTGGAAATTTTATGTTTCAAAAATGAGCAAATCTGCTTCTTCAGAAAAATTAAACCTTAGTAACTTGGGACCTCTGATTCTTGTATGTTCTCTGTGACATACACTGAAGGATTTGGCTCTCTTTTGTTTATTTGTTTTTACTAGTCAGGCATTCCTTTGGCTGTACATATTTATTCTATTGGCTGTCCATATTTATTCTATTGGCTGTCTCCCCAACCCTACCCTCAGCTTCCGCAGCTACTCTGATCAACATCCGAAATGCCAGGAAGCACTTTGAAAAGCTGGAAAGAGTGGATGGACCAAAGCAGTGTCTTCTCATGCGCTAAACATTGCTGATATTGTTTCACACAGAAATTCAAACACTGTATCATAATTAATTTTAATGTTGTATTCATATATGTAGGCTCTCTCTGAAATGTGATGCCTACCACTTGTATTTCTTCTTTACTCTCCAGTCTTAACCATTAATGTAGAATGCTATTTACTCAAATAGCCAGTGAGGAGTTAGAAGATGAGCTGTCCATGACATTGGTGTAACATAAAAATAGGTGAGATATGTAAGTGTTCTGATAACACTGTTCTAAAAGTGTGTAAGTGTTGTGATAGCCTGGTTCCAATAGTTGTGTATGCTAAAGCCTTTCCAGCATCCTCTTGTATTCCTTATCAAATAGTAACTTATAAGTTTAGAAAATTACTGTTTTCTCAGCATGCATTAAAAATATTCCTTAGCTTTAATTATAAATAAACTTTTGCTCTTAGGGATTTCAGTGTCTGTTTTTCTTTTCTTTATGTCTTCAACTTTGCCCTAAGAAAGTACAAAGGAATTTCAGTTATTCTAGTGAAGAGGACCTGCTATAAAGAATGAGAATGCTATAAGGAGTGAGAAATTAGAGACATTTATAGCTAAATGGATGCACATTAAGGCCAAGCTCTTAAGTGAAATAAATAGAACACACGTGTAAATTCCTAATAGTTCCTCTGGTGTGAGAAATTGAAAGTGTAAATAAGAATCAAAATGTATAATGGATAATGTGAAATAGGAAGAAAAGGTGCAAAGGGGAAGGGGAAGTGGGAGGGGTAGGGGAAAGGAAAGAAGGGAATGGAATTAATATGAGAAAAGGAAAAAATGGAAACAAAGTCTTTATAAATAGGGAGGTGTGGACGGGTTGAAGGGAGGGCAGGGGAATGGGGAAAAAATAAGAACCAAGATGTATTATGTAAAGATACAAATCTCCAGTGATGAATGTCATTATATTATATACCTAAAATGTACCAATAAAATTAGTTTTAAAAATTTGAAATAAAGCTGAATGGAAGAATGGAGCCAGGTTATTGCCTTAAAGCTATGCAGAAGGGTGTAGATGTATGGTGTATAATATGATAGGAAATAGAAAAGCTTTGTAGGCTTTTTGAGCAGGGGAATTATGTGAAAGCAGTTCTGAAAGAAAATATAATGAGACTATATGGATCAACAGTGATTGGGGAATTTATGTTTATAATCTAGGGTGAGGTGTCTGGATTGAAAGTCTGTTCCAGGGTGCAAGTGGAGAAAGAATGAACAAAAAAATGGATGGAAAATAGATAGGATTTATTAGATGAAAGCCTTCTTTCTTTGAGGTCCAGCTGTGGTTAATTTTATGTATTCTGTAATACCTAGTATGGTGTACCTTCATTATTCTAGTCAAACAGTATGAAAACCTTTGTTAAATTGTATTTAACTTTTATTTCCCAAGAGAAAAAAATGGAATGCTGTGAACTCTAAGAAATGGAGTTTGAGAACACTAGAATTAAAGCCTTGACCTCTTTAATTTCTATTGGTAAGGTAACAGAACACAAAAACTTTTAGGGAATCTACTGCACAGTAGACTCATCTTGTTTTTCCAGTCTCCATGTTATAAAGAAAATTCTTCCACATCACCAGTCTTTTACCTTTCTCTATCTTAATTTATTGTTTCCACTTGACAGATAAGTAGAGCTTTCACTGAGCAACGATGAACATGTTTTCTAGATAGCCTACCATTACATGGACTAAAACTCTTAAAACTTTATAAGACTTTATCATTAGCTCTATTAATCTTCTGTAGAAGAGTTTTAGGTAGATGTTCTACATTCTTAATCCTATTGGTATCTAGGAAAATGAAAAGAATAAATGAATAAGGAATGACTAATATGAATCATGATTTGTCATGTTTACCTTATCTTCAGAGGTGGGATTTAGAAGGAGCTACTTGGGGCAGGGAATTTAGCTCAGTGGTTCCCTCACAATCGCAAGGTCCCTAGTTGGATCCCCGGTAGAAGGAGCTACTTGAAAGTCAATGTAAACGGATTGCTGCCCTGCTCCACCCTAAGTGTTTGATTCAGCAGGTCTAGGATGGACCTTATAAATCTGCATTTTTAACAGGTTACTAAGTGCTGCTAATGTGGATTCTACTGGTCAAGCGGCTATATCTTGAAAACCACTGCTCTGGGGAAAAGAAGAAAAAATGTAGATGTGGGAGCAGGTATGGGAAAATTTGTTCGCTAGATAAGTTATAGGCATAACAAGAAAAGTATTTATGTTTTTGACCACTGATTCTCAAAATGATGTAAAACCTTGAGCAATGTTTTAGACAAGAGCAATGACTGGGAAGCTTCTCCTTCATAAGTAGCAGGTTATAAATGGAAATGTATTAGCATAAGGAGGGTATGGATACTGATTTGAATAAATATGTTGTTTTTTCCAGTTTTAATCAGCTTTATTTGCTGACTTAGTGGTAAATTATGAAAAGGTAGGTGGGTTGGCAAATGAAAATAGTACTCCTTTAGTTGAGTTCTTATTAAGTATCAGGTTTCAAGTGCATTATGAGGATTATCTAATTTATTCTTTACAAGAACCTCATGGGGTAAGTATTATCACTGTCTCTGTTTTGCAGATTGGGAAACTAGGCTGAGAAAGGATAAAAAATTTGCCTACTGCTGTGTAATATTGATGAAATTGGGAACTTGAACTCAGGTGGTCTGACTCTAGATCTTATCCCCTTAGCCTTGAAGTTATATGGCCTTCTTAAACTTCAGGGCCTACTCAGGGTAGAAAGTATAAGATGCAGTCAAGAATGGTATCTAGTTGTGAAACTACCTTGTGCTAGCTCCTGTGGAAATAGTAGGACAAACAATTGCAAACCTATCTTACTCCTGTTTTCACTGGGGGTTTGCCACATGGAATAAGAAACTTTTACACAATAGACAGTCTGAAGCAAAGTCAACAAGAAAAATAAAATCAAAACAAAAACAAAACACAAACACCCTCTAGCTTAAAGGACTTAGGTCAAACCTATCAACATTTGGAGTTTTTGCCTGAATTGGGCTATTGTGAACAATAATAACCTTTACTTTTTAAAAAGAGGAGCAAGAAAGCATGTAACTTTTTTAGATTTCCCACAACAATGTTTTACAAAATCCAGCTTATGATTTTCCACTCAGATTTCTAATTCTGCCTTATAAAGCATGAAGATAATCAAGTCCCCTTGTAGTGCTAACTGACAAAATTGCTGACCTAATTAATTCAGTCAAAAGATGTTTTGTCCACACTTTCTATGTTTCAGATATTGTTTTCAGAGCTGGGATACAGGAATGTACAAAACAAAGCCCATATGTTCAAGCAGCCTATATGCTACTAAGGGGAGATAGACATTAACCAATTAAATAAACATACTACATTAGGAGAAATAAGTACTATGAAGATAATTAAAATAGTGATGGCAGAAAGCATTGGGATAGACAAAACAGTGCCCCAGAGAGATAGCTACATCCTAATTCCTGGAACCTGTGAATATGTAATGTATGGGGGGGGGGATTAAGGTTGCAGATAGATTTAAGGGTGTTAATTAACTGTCCTTAACAACATTATCCTGGGTTATCCAAGGAACCCAATATAATCAAAATGGGTTTGTGTGTGTGTGTGTGTGTGCACGCACGTGCGTGTGTGTAGTCAAGGGAGGAAGGAAAGAGTGACTCTTTTGAGAAAGGCTCAACTCATTGCTCTTGGCTTTGAAGATGGAAGCAGGGGCTATGAGCTAAGAAATGTGAGCAGCCACTAGAAGCTAGAAAAAGCAAAGAAACAGATTCTTTCCTATGCCATCAAGAAGCAAGCAGAGCCCTGCTGTCACTTAGATTTTAGCCCAGTGAAACTCATGTAAGACTTCTGACCTCTAAAATTATGATAATAATTTTATATTGTTTTAAGCCACTAAATTTGTGGTAATTTGTTAGAGCAGCAATAGGAAACTGTATTAGTGTTCTTCAGAAAAACAGAACCAATAGGCTCTGTGCTCATGTGTGTGTCAAGATTTATTTTAAAGAATTTGCTCATGGGATTATAGAGAATGCAGAGTCCCAAGAACTGCAGTTGGCGAGCTGGAGAGCCAGTGGTATTCTTGTCTTAGTCTGAAGGCAAGAATAGCAAAAGACCTGAGGTGTATGTTCCAGTTCAAAAGCTTGCAGACTTGAGGCCAAGAAGTACCATTGTTTCTGTTCAAGCCTGAAGAAGGAAAACTGGTATCCTAGCTAGGGCAGTTAGGCATAGAGAATTCTCTCTTACTAATAGGAAAGTCAGCCTCATTTTCTACTGGATGAGGCCCATTCACATTAGGGAAGGCAATCTCCTTTACTCAGCCCACCAATTCAAATGCTACTCTCATCCAAAAACTCCCTCACATACATACCTAAAATAATGTTTGACTAGATTATCTGTCCATCTTGTGGCCTAGTTGAGTTGACATATAAAATTAACCATCATAGGAACTAATACAGGGTCTTATTTAGGGAGATCAGAGATAGCCTCCATGATGTGATGACACTTGAACAAAGACCTGAATAAAATGAAAGAGTGAGCCATGTCTATATCTAGGAAGAAAACATTCCAGGCAGAAGAAACAAAGTACAAAGTCTCTGAGTTGGAATTGCTTTTGAAACAGAAGGAAGGTCAACATAATTGGACTGGACCCAAGAGTAGTGAGAGAAATAGATGAAGTGCAGGGTGAGGTAAAGAAGAGGTCAGAAACAAGTCTCTGTGTGTCCCTTTATGCCATTCGTGTTCATTTCCTGTAAGATAGGAAAGCCAGTAGAGATTTTAAGCAGGGAGCTGATGTGATCAGTCTTACTTTTTATGAAAGATCACTACTAGAGAATAGATTATTTGGAGATAAGAATAAATGTGGAGAAACCTGTGAGGAGGGTAATTTGGTGAGAGATGATGGTAATTTGGGCCAGAATTGTAGCAATGGAAATGATAAGTGACAGGATTTTGGCTGTTTCTAAGAAAGAGTGAACAGTATAGAAATAATCAGACAATACCAACATTTCCGGCTTGAGCAACTAGGTTCATAAAGGTCCCTAAGACTAAGAATGTTGAGGGAGAATCTGGCTTGAGGAAGAAGACAGTTGGGAATTTTGCTCATAGTAATTTTAGAGTCATGTCTACATAGTCAGATATATGATTCTTGAACTCAGAAATTGAACCTAGAGATTCAAGTTTAGTCTTGACCCTGGATGAGATCAACTAAAGAGTGAATATCAGAGGAAAAAAAAAATAGGTAGTTATTTAACATTTATAAAAAAATGCTAGACATTGGAGATAAGAAACAATTTGTCACAAATGGCTGAAAATGTAGAATCTTAGACTTGTAAGTAAAAATATTCTCATTACTCTGAAAGTGTGAAAAGGTTTAACTGTTTAACTCCTTAAACTTACTTTTAGCTTCACACATATCCTTGATGTTGAATGC